AGAAGGAGGAAGTCTGACACCCATTATGACTTCCCAGTTTCCTTGGGATTCAGAGGCCCTGGTTTTAAGAAACACCTATTTAAGTCAGAGGAGTCGAAGTATCTTCTTAGAGTAAGACAGTTATTTTCCTTTTCAAAGAAGGACAGGCATATGCCCTTCTATAGAGCTTCTTAATCTATCCTTCTGATGGAAAAGGATTAAATATGTGCTGAAGAAATCTAGCTCAGGCAAGCTCCTAACCACAGTCTAGGCCAAAGATGAATTTCTTTGGAGTTGGAGTGGTGGTATTTGGCATCAGTTGAATTTCAGCGTCTATCCACATTTTGGTGCCACAAGCTTTCAGGGAGGAGGTATCAGGCCAACTTGAGGCAAAATGAAGTTAATCACTATTCACCTTGACAAGGCTGTAATCTGCTTGAAGCCAGGGACTCTACATTCTATGTCATTTTTTTCTCGGATATCACTACAGAAGCTGGCACACAGTATAAATGGATTGATGATAATGTATTAAAAACCATGAAGTACTATAAACCACCTAATGAAAAAAACACATCAAATCAAGGTACCTATGGAAATGGGCAATGTACCATACACCCATTTACTAGTAGATGATTCATGTTTAATGTTCAAGTAAAGACTTTCACAACTGACAAAACTCTGATAATCTCAATGCAATTTTGTCAACTGATTTCAATAATTGGTCAACTTCACTATCAATCTAGGCAGTTTTTGGAAAATACAGAATCGGACAAAAATTTGGTATTACAAACACACACACACACACACACACACACACATTTGTCTTCTTCTTGATAATTTTGACAAACAAGCAGATAAATTTCTATGGGGCAATGCCTTTACTATGAAATTGGCTAGATATACTAAAATTTACAATGTAAAATATTGAATTTTATTAAGACTAATGCTAATGATTGGCCATAGATGAAATTTACTTAGTTATTCTTAGGTGGAATAAGATTTAAGTCCAGAATTGGAGGGAAGGGTTCTATAATTTCAAATGTTTTGAAATTAAAGTTGAATTTTGTGACTAAGAAAATCACATTCAACATTCTAATTATGATTAAGTTTCTGATTATGTCAGAGGAACATCAATAATCCCAGCAGTTAAGTAAATATTTAGAGCCACCTGAATCCTTTTAAAGCAGTAGGGTTTGAACCAAGCATCTGCAGTGGCAAATGATTGTCACACGCTTAAAGTGTGAACTGATGACACAGATTTGGTATATAAAATACTGCATTTGTAAACACTGAATAGCATCTAGTATTATACTTACTGTTTTGATTTAGTAAACTCATGGATATATAATCATTTAAAGTCCATAGGGGAAACTATTTAAAATCTAATTTTGAAAGAAACATCATCACTTACATCACAAACACCAAAATTACACTCAACAGTATGCTTTGGCTATTCACGGACTAAATTCCACTAAACAAAAATAAACATGCAGAAGCAACAAAGAAAACTGAAGAAAATGAAGTCACTGATTAGAAGAGACACTTCTGTTACTGCCTAAGAGCTTACACTTTAATATATTTTGTAAGATAAAAAATAATAAAAAGAGTGCCATACAGACTTTTGTTAATATTACATAATTTCAAATTTTTAACTCAGCACAAGAATGTGGGAAACTTATCATTTAAGGTTTGAAATGCTTTTCTTTTCTTTTTTACTTACTAAAAAAGTACTAAAATAGCAGTTTATTAAGTAGATGACCATCTCTATTCCATTGGGTGTGAGTTCTATCTTGCCCCCTTGCTACCTCAAAATTGTGTCAGTTCTACATCACAGCTAAGCTTTCTAACCTCTATTATTTTATTTTTATTTTAGAGGAAGGGAGGGGGGGGGGGGAACATTAGTCAGTTGCCTCCCATATGGGCTCCATCAGGAATAGGACTTGCCACTTTTTGGTGTATGGGACCACCCTCCAACCAACTGAGTCACACCAGCCGGGGCTAACCTCTATTCGTGATAACATTTCCCACCTTTACCTACTTCAATTTTTCTCTGCCTTCAAACACAACCAAGTTTTCTATAAAATCTTTTACTGATTATAATGCTTCCTTTAGTTATAACTGCTGCTTTCCATTACTATATTTCTTTTTAAAAATATATATATTTTATTGATTTTTTTACAGAGAGGAAGGGAGAGGGATAGAGAGTTAGAAACATCGATGAGAGAGAAACATCGATCAGCCGCCTCCTGCACACTCCCCACTGGGGATGTACCCGCAACCAAGGTACATGCCCTTGACGGAATCGAACCTGGGACCCTTGAGTTCGCAGGCCAACACTCTATCCACTGCGCCAAACCGGCCAGGGCTATATTTCTTAATGAGTAGTGTAACTTGATTTCCCCTTGAAATGAAAGTAGCTGCGCCCCCCCCCCATTATAAATGAGAAATAAAAACACAAATATCATCTTCAATGAAATTGGAAGATATCTGCTACAGAACGTGTGCGTAGAGAATAGGGTGGAAAATGGGGAACTAGGTTGAAAATTTGCATGACAGCAATTAAATCTCTATGGTTCTTACTCCGCCACTTAGAGTAGATGAGAGATTATTTGGAGAAACTGAACCAGAGAGGTGTGGGACTTTGGATATCAGACATAGCAAGGACAGAGGGGAGGCTTTGGACTAAAATCAGAATGAAAGTTCCCCGTTTCCTTAGCAGAAAGAAACAGAATGGCTAAAGCGAGAAGACCTATAGTGCTGCTATCTGGGAATACTCTAATAAAAAGCTGGAAGTCCAGCCAAACCTGCAGTGGACCTCCCCAGTCCACAAGCCCCGCCGACTCACACGCAGCTTTCCAGGCATTGTTGTGCTTCATTCACTCTAGAATATGAATGGTCACAGGTTATCAGTTTTGAAGAAAGCCTGTAACATAAACAACGGAGACTAAAGCATAAGGAACTTGGAGAAGACAGTAACCATAAAAGTAACAGAAAATAAAGTTGGTTTCTTCCAAATTAAGAGAAGATATTACACCTAAGAATGACTAAGAGAAGGTGCAGGACAATCAGAGAATAAGGGTTTGCAAATTAAAATCACGAATGCAGAAATAAAATACTCAATAGGGAAGTTAGAGGATGAGTTGAGAAAATATCAGAAAATCAGAAAATAGTGGTTAAGACAAGAAAGCTAAAATTAGATGATCAGAAAGCGCCGGAGCCTCAGCCGCCCGCAGTGCACCCTGGGAAAGCAACAGCATCAGACCCAAGATGGCAGCCAGCAGGAGGCTGATGAAGGAGCTTGAAGAAATCCGCAAATGTGGAATGAAAAACTTCCGTAACATCCAGGTTGATGAAGCTAATTTACTGACTTGGCAAGGGCTTATTGTTCCTGACAACCCTCCATATGATAAGGGGGCCTTCAGAATCGAAATCAGCTTTCCAGCGGAGTACCCGTTCAAACCACCGACGATCACATTTAAAACAAAGATCTATCACCCCAACATCGATGAGAAAGGGCAGGTCTGCCTGCCAGTAATTAGTGCTGAAAACTGGAAGCCAGCAACCAAAACCGACCAAGTAATCCAGTCCCTCATTGCACTGGTGAACGACCCCCAGACCGAACACCCGCTTCGGGCTGACCTGGCTGAAGAATACTCTAAGGACCGTAAAAAATTCTGTAAGAATGCCGAAGAGTTTACAAAGAAATACGGAGAAAAGCGACCTGTGGACTAAAACCTGCCGCGACTGATTCCGGGGAGTGTGAGCAGAGGCCCTGAGCGGCGCATTCAGACACTCCGCCCAGCAGGACTCTGTGGGAAATGGACACGGGCCCCCACCTGGCGTTCGCTTGTGGCAGTTACTAACTTCCTACCGTTTTCTCAATCCAAAGTGGTCTAGGTAACCTGTAAAGAAAGGATTAAAATTTATTTAAGATGTTCTAGTTCTGCTTTCTTTGTTTAAAAATCACTGTTTTAATCTAAAAAAAAATCAGAGGATCAACAGACTTTTCATAGAAAATAACAAAACGTATGGGGAAAATTATCAAAGAAAATGTATTAGAAGAACATAAGTCTCTACAATGAAAGAGCCCACTGAGCACCCAGTAATGCTGGGGGGGCGGGGGGAGGGGAGGGAATACATGTAAAGTTACATTATTCTAAAATGTTAGAATCCTTAAAATAAGGAGATACTAAAGTCTTTCTACCTTATAGGTAACAATATGTACTGTATACTTAAAAATTTGTTAAAGAGGATAAACC